CCTCAGCAGCGCGTCTCCCTCAGAGCTGAAACTGGCGCTATCCATGGCGGACTTTTTACACTCAATACACCGAGCGACTCTTTTAACAATAACCATCCAGCATTTGACGCCTCTGCTTCTCACCCCGTGTCTTTCAGAAGGAGGTAAATTCTGCCGGAGATTTGGCGCATCAGTGTCGAGAATAGTATCCCCGAACTGGGGATTTCCTGGGGAACTTCCCCGCGGACTTTTTTTTTTTTTTTTTAGCGTCGTCAAACCGGAGCCCTGCCTGCAGCCTGCTGCCACCTTTCAAACAGCAAACATCAAGGCTTTTACACTGGCGGCAATCATTGTTAAACGACTAAAACATAAAACACACATCAAACTTTTTTTTTTTCTGTTCGAACTGCGTTCGGGTTTCTTCGACAGCGCCCGAAAAGGAAACGCGACGTGGTGCTTTCAATGGCATCGGAAAATTGGAGCTCTTGCACAGTTCGAGAGTTTCCAACCTTCTTCCTCGTTTACTTCAGGCGCTTCTTGATTAGTTTTTAAATATGAAACAGTTTATTTACATTAGTATTTGATTTCAATAAGTTAAACTAGACTTAGATTTATTTGTCATTTTGTTTAGGCTTTACTAGAATAAATCCACACTGCTTCTCAGCTAAAATGCCTGATAAATTCATTTAAAGCCATATCCTGATATATACATAGAGGAAACTGAACTTGTCTTGTTACTATTTGAGCACTGAAAACACTACACTTTTGGAACTTTTTCAAAAATAATGAAAAAATACCAATTGACTTGTAGCTTTCAATAAATGCTACAAAAATATATGCTGTTTATATATCATATATAAACAGTAATATAAACAGAACTGTAAATTTACAGTTCTAACATTTCAGGTTTTTATTTATTTTTTATATAATGATGAAACTAACACACAAAGTCATGTTTTCCGAGCATTTATTGCAGCCAGCACAAAACTATAACAATCAATGGCGTAAATATTGGTAAAGCAGCAGCAGCAGTTGCTATCAGGAGTCAGTGACGGGGCCCCTAAGAGGTCAGGGGCCCCCTAACTGATTCCTGGTAGGCCCCCTATGCAATTGTGGATCAGGACGTCTCTTTGCAGATATAATGGTGCGAAAAATTTTGTTTATACCCACCTGAGCCTGCTCTGACTGACTGGGCGGTATTTATACCCCAACACATGCCAGATTTTAACATGATTGTGAGCCGTTTAAAAAACGACACCAATAGCAAAACAGACAGTGGTACTCTTAATTACTACCGTATGTTAATAACTATGTATAGTTCATTAGACGGTTGGTCAAAAATACACTCATATAATATGTTTTAAACTGCAATAAAAATATTAAAAGAACGATGTATTTTTACACTACGACTTGGAATTGCGGGTAATCCAGAGTGTAGATTAAAACCATAACCTTTAAGTACAATGTGTTAGCAACGATGGATACCAAAAAGAGTTACTTAAGCGGATTCCAGAAAAGAAAAAGCAAAGAGGTGAAGAGGGAACCGAAGAGGGAATGGTGGACGATGCTGCTACTGTGATGGGGGGAATGGGGTCTTGTACTTCATATGGGGCCCACCTAGATAACGTTGCTTATGGGCCTATTGTTGTGTCGTTACGCCATCGATAACAGTCTATCAAAGAATGTTATGTATGTAATGTATGGAGAAGCTGAGGTTTTGACAGCCTCTGATAGGATAGAAGCTGTAAACAAGCATACGAAAACTGAAAGTTAGTTGGAAGGAAAAAGTGTGGTTATAAAAGGTGGCCTCCACACTCATCCTGGAATTTTTGGGAGACTTGTAAAGCGTGGACTGCATCTGGCATCTTTGCTTCAGGAGCCGCCACATTAGCTTTGAACTATAATCCTCACAATGAACAGAAATATACATTTTAAAATCTATCTTAAAGTTAAATCAAAGTTTAATCAAGGTTAAGTTGCTCTTGGGTGTTCTTTTTAAACAGTTAACTGAAACATAATTACTTGAAGTTCGTTGTCCAGGTTTTCTTTACCTTTCTCAGAGTTTTTCTTTTTCAAGCTGTATTCCAACTTTGTTTGCTATACAAATAAACTTTGTATAGCCCTCTTGGTTTGTAACGAACAAGTTTACTTGTTGAACAAAGCGACTAAAATAAACAAACTGTTCAACATTTCAATGCACCAAACAGACTCGTATACACCAGGAAAATAAAAGTACAGCCTGGTTAGATTTATTTAACTATAAAGAGGAATAATCCTGCTGTCCAATAAATTCCATATAACTTTGTTAGTCTTTCTTCATAGGCTTTCATGTTGTGGCATGTGGAGCTTCCAACAGACCTACTACTTAAAACCATATTCCTTGAATAGCCCCCAATTTAATGTGGTGACATGCAGGGTTTCTAATCTTACGTAGTAAACTCACACCAGGGAATACATTTTATTATGACTTCCTTTCTTTATTCAAACTTTTTGCTCAGCATTCGAATTTCCTACAGCATTAAACGCAACAAACGTTTTTCTCTGTTATTATGTAATTAAATTATTTATTGAATTGCGCAGTTATGGCCTTGCCTGCGGTTCAGTGACTCAATGAACATGAATGAGTTTTAGTAGTTTGGTATGATTCAGTGGATAATTGCTTTAGGTTACATGAGTCCTATCTAAATTCCTCTGAATGTGACCCCATGACACAATTGTTCATCCTGTTAACATTGAAACAAGTCTAAACTCACGTATACAAAGTCAACATATATTTCATTCCTGGACAAGCAGAACATCTTTACAGAAAAATAACACCCCATCCTGTCTGTGAGACATGGAAGCTGGTCAGAACCTGTTGGAGACCCCTTGACTCTAGAATAGGGCAGCTCATCCAGAGAATGATGCAGATGATGATGTACATTATTAGATCAAAAAACACCCGTGTTAGTGACCCTGTCAAAGGTCAAGTCAAAATCCAGTCCAGAATGTTTACTTGCAGATATTCCTATTTCAGCCCATCTGTAATTTTGCAATTGCAAAAAAATAAGTAAAAAATAGAGCATTTTAATCTTAAGGTGTGCATTGATCAGAGTGTTTGAACCTAAATTCATATAACATATTTTTAGATCTTTGTATTTAAGTTGATCATCATGTGTTTACAGGTCACTTGTTTATTTGTCTCTGACTTAAAATCCTAATAATACCACAATGAGGTTTGAGGTTTCTAATTTGAACCACATGTGGAAAACTAAAGGGTGCAAATATTTTCACAAAACACTGTAAAAAGGGGAAACATCTCTAGTTTGATGGGGTTTTTTCCCCCCCCACAGACTGGAAAGATTTTATGACAAAACTGTAAATTTCCATTTATAAACAATCATTGATCATCCTTGAAATATTCCAACAATAAAAGTTTTTACTTTATCTAAAAGAGTCCAAAGGCTAACCACTTAGAACTTTCTAAACAGAAATAATGGTATTGTGTGTGTGTGTGTGTGTTGGGGGGGTGGCATCACTATTAGTAAGCTCATTATTGTGGACTGACCTCCATGTGATTCAGCACTTTCTAAAACTGTTACTTTTCCCCTCTTCACTTTCACTCGCTGTGGGTTGCCCTTAGGTACCCAAAAATGTGGTCAACTTTGACATTTTTGAAATACATGAGTTAGTTTATGGTTAGTCTATGGTATTATCAGCATATTTATACTGTCACTATCTTCCAGATTTTGAGCCTTTTGTTTAACCTGATGTAAAATACTTATTTATATGACAGTCGATGCGTAGAAGGGGGACATTTTGTTTACTCAAGCGGAAAATATCAATACACATGGTGACATTGTAAGTAATTTCACTGAAGGTATGTTTGCTAATTTGTGTCCAGGGGAAGGTCTTTGGGAAACCTCCGTTTCCCTCGGGGTTGTTGGACTACATGAATGTATCTGATCAAAGTAAAACTACAGTCTAGACTGTAGGAGTGATGGATGCTTCTCTGACATTCAGCCCAGAGGTTAATAAGAACCATCGGCCAGTGGGGAGTCCCAGGTATTTCTAGGCCACACAGACCATGACAGAGATGTCTTTTGAGGTGAGTCATAAAAATCAAATGACAGTCATGTGAAAGCATGAATCAAGGTGTAAAATTTGGATAAAAAAGAAAAAGAAAAAAGGAAGCAGTGTCCAACTTCAAACCGCTGCTTCACCAAACCATTCTAGATTCAAGAACCTGCATTGAAATGGTATCACTTCCACATATGACTTTCAAATCGGGTAGGCTGTACTATATATGCTCTTAACATTTTGTTCTATATCTCATGACTTCAGACATTTAGAGGGTTAGCTCTTAGAGGTTTCATTTATACATTTATTTGTATTAATTTTTTTCTAAGGTGCATATTGTGTGACCACTTCTACTGTAACCTTTTCCTGCTTTAAACACCACAAATTCCCCAGTGTGGGACAATAAAGGGATTTTCTATTCAATTCTTCCTTTAACAGTAGGAAAAACTCCATAACATGAAGTATAAGGCAAGAAGGCAACATGGCAAGCATTTTATCCTGACACATTAAGAATTAACTGGTTAAATACAAGTAAATTCATTAAGCAAAAAAAAAATCTCTGTAAGTAAAAAAAATAATAACACTGCTACTACCTCTAAAATAATGATATAACTTTTAGGATGATTATAAAACAGTATAATTTGCACAAAGGAAATCATTAAGATGAAAGATAAATAAAAACTACAATTAGAGACATGAATAATTCAATGTGTTTGCAATGTTCAAGGACCTTAAGTCACTGCCACATTCAAAACTGTCCCGCCTTATTCCACCAGAGGGCGTTGCTCAACCAATAGTTCAGCTAATTTAAATCCTTTTCAACACACAACCAAAACATTGGCTTCAACATAAAACAATATAACAAAATAAACGGATTTATCTGAGCGCCTATCAACACAAGCAACACATTAACTGTTTATGACAAATAGTTAGTCAAATTAGATCTTAAACACATGGCACAATTTTGTGAAAAAAACATTTTATTTACACTGCAATACCTTCAAATGTAAACATACAACAACCTCCTACCATAATGCATATTTTGACCTATGAGTTCGATCTGGTGGATGGAACAAAAGAACAGTCAAACAAAAATTACACGGTAAAAGAAGCGCTAGAGTAGAAAAATAATTTTTTTATCGGAGGTCGATAAAAAAGGGAGAGGTGCTCATATAAAAGAGTCTGTTAATGTTACAATGAATAAAGAGAAAAGAGAATATAGCCAGCTATTTCTTGTATTTACTTGAGAAATTTAGGTTATATATAAAAGTAGAAAATTGTTTAAACATCCCAATTTGAGCGAACACCAGAATCAAACTTTTGTTCAGTGCATCATGCAAAATTAATTGGTTATCTGTCTGGTACTAAGGTTAAAATAGAAATGTTTAAGTAACACGTTTCGGTAGTTTGATCACTTAAAAGTTAAATCTAGATCATATTTAATAATAAAAAGTTCATTTGCAGATCTAGAACATCAGTGACAGAATAAAAATGCCAGTTTGATAACTGGTTGTTTCTATAGATTATGCTGCCACAGATTCCAGTCTCATGTAATGCAATTCTGCTTGTTATTAATGCAGTCTGCGTGTTTATATCGATTAGGAGGTGAAGGAAGAGCTCTGAAAGACAGACCTTTTCCTACTCTACACTAGGAAGCACTTGTTTAATCTTAATAGGAAGTTGACAATAATACAAAAATGGTCAACATCCCATTTCTAATACCCAATACTTTTTAAAGGCCATTAAAAATGGTAGTTTGTTAAGGCCTTTAAGAAAGGTGTCAAATGAAATCTGGAAACATGTTCGCTTAGTAGAAAAACCTTAACTAAACTTAGTTTTCAGCTCTAGCACTGCTTTTTACGAATGCTGCGTGAAATCCTCTTAAACTCCCGCTGTCCTCTCTGCCAGCGCTTCAGGGAGGTGATGACCAGATGGCCATCCATCTTCTGGCCCATGACCAGGTAGGAGCCATTGATGTCATTCATCTCGTCACAGACGCACCGAAGTCCATCCTTCAGCCACAGCTCCGTCTTCCTCAGTTCACGCTCTGTCACCCCATTCATCATGTAAATGGTCTTGCTCTTGGTCTCTGGCACTATTTTGGTGTCACCATTAATGTAGGAGATCTCTTTGAATTTGATTTTCAGAGCTAGACATGGATGTGAAGAAAAAAACAGAGAGAAAGGGAACCGTTACAACATTTTCACAAAATGTAATGTATTTGGTGTACAAATTAAATGCAAAACATTTTTCAAATGGTGATTAAATTTATTGGTGGATCAAATCTAGCCAAACTTTTACTGCTCATCTTGCTGAATCGTGGATTAAATATGATTAGCCCCATATTCTGGTTCAATTAGAGAAGCTGCACCCATGTCTGATTACTGTCTGATGTGTAGAATTTAAAAATCCTGTAAACAGAACCTACCTGACAGCCTGAAATAGGCTAATGGATCCGAAAGCAGCAACACATGTGGCAGAAATTGAAAAACAAGCTGGAAACCAAGTATTGTTTTTATCTATGTTTCTGGAAAGGTACAAGAAGTAATTTCACCGGCTTTTGGACTCCAGCAAATCACAGTATTCTTCCCAAACAGAAAAAAATAAAAATAAAGCTGGGAATACTGGTTAACCTTTCCAGCAGAGGTCAGCCTACTAGGATTTTCTGAATGCGCACTGATAGCATATCCAAGGGTTCACAAAAGACAACATCCAGAACACTGCAGGCTTACCTTTAACAGTTCAAGTCAAGGTTCACAATTTAACAATAAGAAAAACAAACTGGGAAAATAAGTATTAATGGAAAGAGATCCAAGATGAAAAACACATCTTCAGACTAAACAAACAAATACAACTTTTTTCCAACAGCAACAACTTGATGACTCCGTAAATTTGGGGGAATACATTCAGTGTACCAATTAGACAAAGTTGTAGTGTTTTATCTGGAAACAACTCCTTGAGTCAAACATACTGTAGTCATGGTAAACTGAGAGTCTACGGCTTTCTTGCAACTCAGGAATCTTGAATGGGTTTTTGTTTTGTTTTTTATCCTGAAGGGATAAAAAAAATACCAGACCACAATTTTTTGAATTTGAGCTGAAGGTCATTCTGGTTATGAAGAAGGACAATGAGCTGAAGAAGACCAGGAAGTCCACCTCTGAAAGGCTAAAATGCAAATTCAAGGTATCAGAGCAGCATTTAAGTTGCTCTGTCAGGATCTCAAATGTTTCATGCCAGTTGCTATGACCACGGTAAAAGTTACAGAGGCAAAAACCTTTTTATATAAGGCCAGATTGGTGTGGATATTTTTTTTTCTCCCCTTAAAAATGAAGTCAACCCCACTTTTTAGAACATTAACTAGGTAATTATTTTCAGATATTAAAGCCTATTTGTTGATAAAACATTCAAATGTGACATAAAAACAAAACCAGAAGGAATTTGTGAGATATAAAATACATTTTACTGTACTAAAAAGTAGCAATAAAAAAATCATTAAAATTCTGGATGGAAAGAAAAGGAGAATTTAGATGTTTCCAAGGCGATAACCCAGACTAAAAGCATGAGCTGTAAATCAGAAAGTCATTCTATAATCTGTTACTGTATAGTGAAAAAGATGTTTCCTCTACCTATTGAATGCATAAACATAAGGAACTGTCATCATTGTATGCTGGATTTAAAACTAAACTCTATACCAGAATCGTTTGTAGACATTTTTACAATCATTTATATGATCTAGACCTTAGAAAACATAAACAAGTGGAGTCAATCTGACCAGGGATGGTAGGTCATAAATAAAGTTATAAATTAGTAATTGTCAGGAAAGGGGCTTAAGTTTGTGTTTCTCTACAAAGCAATATTCCTAAATAAACATAAGGCATAAGCAGTCCTCAAGAAAGTGAATGGCTAAACTCCAACCCAAGAGTCCAAAACCAGGATTTTGTTGGGCAAAGAGAGAGCTTGTCAAAAAAAGAAAGAAAAAAAGATGTCTTTAAAATATTGATTTTCTTATTAAGAAATAATACATTATAACCGTGTTTGTGTGAGGAGATTTTTTTTTTTTTTTTTTTTTTTAGAATGCAAAGATGTAAAACCATCTGAGAAACTTAACCCCATAAAACAGGCTCTAGACATCTGGGTCAAATGTAGGCTTCGCTTTTAAAGAGGTTCCCCACATTCAGCGGATAAGGTTACTCTAATGCTGACTTGAATTTTTTAAGTCACCTATGATGACCTCTTGGGGCCTCTATTAGAACTAGTAAAGCTGGAGCACTTACCAAAATCATTCTTGCACAGACTGTCAACAATTTCGTTGCCATTTTCTTCAGTTTCTTTGCAAGCATCACACACCCTGGGGACTAAAAGAGAGTTTAAAACCATTAACAGTGAGACATTTTGCATATATGAACACGACATATGCAGGAACTAGATATGTATGATGATGGAGTAGAAATCAGACATCAATAGACAGCAGATCCTGTGCGTAAAACCGTGTTTACGCACAGGATCTGGATTGTAAACCAACGTTTCAAACTTTTTACGGATCTTTACCCTCTCTTGTGACAGGGACAACGTTTTCAACGCTTGCTGGCGGTATGCACAAGTCGTTGTCTGGTGGGAAGCGGTTGCAGTCCAACATATCTGGCCACGGGTACCCAAACGCGAGCATAACGGGTCCGCATCCATGCCGGACGCTTTCGCACAGAGACCTGCATGGCTGGATGGGCTCGTCCTGGTCGTCCAGACAGACGGGGGCGAAGAGAGAGCACAGGAACCTCTTTGTGTCGGGATGACACTGCTTCTGAACCAGGGGTGTCCAGGACGATGCTTGCTGCAGGACCTCATTCATGGTTTCGTGTCCGAGCAGGTTCGGGAGGCGCATCTCACTGTATTCTATGTCATTGCACAGGAGGAGATTTTCAGGAATCTTCTTGCAGCTGTTCTTTTTGTGGAATAAATCATGCTGACCGAAGGTGTATAATCCGTGAATTGCGTCCACGCAGGGTATTGTTACCCCCCACAAAACGGTCACTAGTGAAATAAAGGCTCTCATTTTCTGACTTGAATGTGAAATTCTTCAGGCTCCGTCTGCAGGTTGTGGATGAAGCATCTGTCAGTGAGCAGATCCTGCTGCTCACTGGAGCTTTCCTCCCAGACACGTCTGGGAGGAGTCTGAGCTCAATGGACTTTTTCTATGTAACAAAAATTGGTTTCCTGATGTCAAGCAAACACTGTAGACAGATTTGTCTTCTTGAGCAAAGAAAAACCCAGAGTTGCAGAGCTCCTTTGGCTCTGAGAGACATAATGACGTCTAATTGTGGCTTAGTATTTTATCACCAGCAGTTTTCTTGACAGTTTCCCCTTTATTTCCAACCTCCTGCCTCTCATGGAATAATAACAAAATCTGTCTGACTGGTTTTCCTCATTACGCCCCAATCAGCAATACACCCAGGGTAACCCGTTGGCTTGCTGGTTTTGGCTGTAAATAATTTGAAAATGTCAGTGGGGGCATTTAACTCTATTCAGCGGAGCGTTAATTTTCCATCATTAGTGGTAGTGAAGTCCTTTGGGCAGGTCTGCAGGTTCACGGTGAAATATGGCTTGCCCTGGTGTGAGAAGCAGACCTCAAATCAGCACACCCAGAGGGGAAACTGAATCTGCCTCTCACCTCTGGTACTGCAGCTCTGGCACCTATCCCCCCTCAGACCCCCGTGAACTGCATATTACAAGGGGGTTCCTCTCAGGTTTTAGATGCTTCAACATTAAACATGTGGAGTTTCTTTTTCAAATGGACGGTTCACCCAAATCCTCCCATTTATCTCTTGTGAATTGTTGCACTGCAGTCTGTTTCTTTAATAATGGTGTTAAGGTGCCTACTGCCTTCTCTGAAATTGTTCAAATTACATCTAGGGAAATTATTTTCTAGAAATTGAACTGATTAGAATCATTTACCTCAAAAATTAGTGCAAACTTCTAACTGGGATTTTTAAAATGTCATCAACATAAAATCTATATAAGCTGAAAACACAGGTGTTTTATGTGCTCTAAATAACCCAAGCCATAAAAGTTTATAAGTCTGGGAGTTTCTTTCTTTATTTATTAAAACTAAGGGGATTGCAGTAGTGTCATCTCGGTGATGAGAACAACTTAGTCAAATGGAATGCCACTGCTGAATAAGAGAGTAGAGGTATTGTTTTGTGATTTATTCTGAACAACTGACATTTTCTTAAGGGTGTGACACTAAACTTTGTCTTGGGTCATGTGTAGAATTCTTCTTGTCAGTGTACAGCCTGTAGTACGGCTTGAATGCATCAACAATACATAGAATAGAAGTGCAGATTGTACACTGCATATAAAAATATGTCAGTACTACTTGCTATCGTTTTTAGTACTCATTACTCAAATAAATACCCACTATTTTCCACCCACATAAATTATCAGCTAATGCTTTACCATAATTCACATTGATTAATTAATACCAAATTAAATGAAGCTGCCTTCAGTTTGGGTTTCTGTTTTTTGTGCATGACCTAGATGTGATCCTTGCAGTTTTCTTTCAATTCCTGAATATTCATAGAACACATAACATGTTTAAGGATTTTAACTTCTTAAGATAAAACTTAAGCAAATATATTGAGGCCTACACCACGTCAAGTTGATCATGTCAACACAAAACATGTTGCTGCGAGAGAGAACTCACTTTAGCTATAACTGTCCTGGTGCAAAATCACAATTTCTACATCTGATGACTTTAAAAGCTCATGTTTATTTATTGGTAATCATAAAGCAAAATGAAGCTTTACAGACAGGCAGACATACAAATAGCTTGACAGATATACAGATAGATACATAGATATTCTGTAGTTTTAAGCATTTGTGCAAGTTTACTTCCTTTAAAGTCCTAAAGAAAAAAATAATCAAACTATCTTATATTATGAGCAGTTCTTTCTCTGTTAAACTTGTTGTCCAATGTAATACTAATAAATTATTTGTAGGCATGACGTGCACACAAATGAGCATAAATAAAACAAGGTGAGGGCCTCCTAACATGCTCTCTGTGTAGCCTCTACAATTTCACAGACAGTGAAGGTCAGAGGTTAGAGAAGAAGTAAACTGATCCTAGGCCTGTGCTTAACATCACCACAGCAGGTTCTCATTATAACTCAGTGGGAAAATGAGACCCAGTTGATCATACCCACTGCTCCATCTGTGGCTGAGTAACCCTTTCAGCCATATGATCGATGCTCCACCAATTTCCTCTCAGATTTTACAGCTAGGCATCTGTTAAATAAAATCACAGTTTACTTCCTGCTGTTATATAGTACATTGTTAATGTTGTAAGATTGTTTACTGTATTTCTAACTGATCTCATAATAGCAAAACTTGCATGTGGTGATGGTTAAATATAGTTATAGTTAAAGTAGATTACTTTGTTTTAGTCAGTAGTTATTACTACCAATAATGGGTAGAATACCCAAAAAGTGGACTAAATTAAGAGTAAAAATATTTCATTATATTTTCACTCAAATAAAAGTAAAAAAGTATTTAGCAAAAAGGCTACTCAAGTGCTAACACATTATAACATCTGATATTTAAAATTATCTAATAAAGGTAAAACAAGATTTTAACTTATCTGCAAATTCTAGTATTAAAAAAATTCAATGATAATATAATAAAATAATTAAAAAGAAACAAATATTAATTTGAGGCAGAAAAAATACTTTTTTCATACACTGACTTTTTGACATAGAACTTATGAAACCAGTACCTGCAGTGACATTTACTCCTTACTTGATATACGCTTGTATACTCAAAGTACACAAATTTTGACAGAAATAATAACTGTGTCTCTTTGACTGGAGCACTTTTTTAAAATAAGGTTGTTTGTTCGACTGGCAGTAAAGTAGAATAGATGGAGTAGCCATACATTTTATCCAAGAATAGCAATATTCAGCTCAGATATTACTAAAGTAAAAGTAAAGCTAAGGAACACAAAAACTACACAAAATCTAGATCAGTCATTTTTTCTTAGAATAAGTGCATTTGTTCGTGGATTGAAGAGGTAAACAAGACATTTTGCCAATGGAACAAGAAAATTTAGACTTAAAATAAGAAAACACAAATGCATAGTCTCATTTTAAGCGCATATTATCTAATTTCTTTTTTTTAAGAGTAAAAATACTCATTCCATTGGGAAACTCATCTCATTTAACTTCTGAAATTAACGGTAAATACACTTAATTTAAGACATTTTTACGTATTTTTAGATGGTTTTTCCAGTGTATTCCTATAAGTAGATTTCTTTCACAAGGTTTATCAAGTAACTGTAAGTTACTCTCCATGTCTGGCTCCTGGTGAAGTATGGTGAAAATAAGTGATCCATTCCAAAGGCCAGCCCTGGAAAACAATAGAAACTCCACCAGAAAGCAGTTCTGCTTATAGTCTGTATGATACAGATGCCATAAATTGTTTTACTGGTTCATGCTTTTATGTGTAATGAGCTCAGCATGTATATACACTATATTGCCAAAAGTATTTGCTCACCCATCCAAATTATTGGAATCAGGTGTTCCAATCACTTCCATGGCCACAGGTGTATAAATTCAAGCACCTAGGCATGCAGACTGTTTTTACAAACATTTGTGAAAGAATGGGTCGCTCTCAGGAGCTCAGTGAATTCCAGCGTGGAACTGTGATAGGATGCCACCTGTGCAACAAATCCAGTCGTGAAATTTCCTCGCTCCTAAATATTCCACAGTCAACTGTCAGCTGTATTATAAGAAAATGGAAGTGTTTGGGAACGACAGCAACTCAGCCACGAAGTGGTAGGCCACGTAAACTGACGGAGCGGGGTCAGCGGATGCTGACGCTTATAGTGCGAAGAGGTCGCCAACTTTCTGCAGAGTCAATCACTACAGACCTCCAAACTTCATGTGGCCTTCAGATTAGCTCAAGAACAGTGCGCAGAGAGCTTCATGGAATGGGTTTCCATGGTCGAGCAGCTGCATCCAAGCCATACATCACCAAGTGCAATGCAAAGCGTCGGGTGCGGTGGTGTAAAGCACGCCGCCACTGGACTCTAGAGCAGTGGAGACGCGTTCTCTGGAGTGACGAATCGCGCTTCTCCATCTGGCAATCTGATGGACGGGTCTGGGTTTGGCGGTTGCCAGGAGAACGGTACTTGTCTGACTGCATTGTGCCAAGTGTAAAGTTTGGTGGAGGGGGGATTATGGTGTGGGGTTGTTTTTCAGGAGCTGGGCTTGGCCCCTTAGTTCCAGTGAAAGGAACTCTGAATGCTTCAGCATACCAAGACATTTTGGACAATTCCATGCTCCCAACTTTGTGGGAACAGTTTGGAGCTGGCCCCTTCCTCTTCCAACATGACTGTGCACCAGTGCACAAAGCAAGGTCCATAAAGACATGGATGACAGAGTCTGGTGTGGATGAACTTGACTGGCCTGCACAGAGTCCTGACCTCAACCCGATAGAACACCTTTGGGATGAATTAGAGCGGAGACTGAGAGCCAGGCCTTCTCGTCCAACATCAGTGTGCGACCTCACAAATGCGCTTCTGGAAGAATGGTCAAAAATTCCCATAAACACACTCCTAAACCTTGTGGACAGCCTTCCCAGAAGAGTTGAAGCTGTTCTAGCTGCAAAGGGTGGACCGACGTCATATTGAACCCTATGGATTAGGAACGGGATGTCACTTAAGCTCATATGTGAGTCAAGGCAGGTGAGCAAATACTTTTGGCAATATAGTGTATAAATCATTCAGGATGAAAATATGCTTTAAAAATAAAAATGGTGCTTTAATGGTTTCTTTGAACAGCCCCTATTTCGTGTTTTATTATTAAATTAAACCAATAGGTAGATGGTAACTGTCGCCTCTTGTGTAACCTTTTACCTATTGTGTAAGAGACCAGAAGACAATGGTTGGCAAACCATGGTAAGTGGTTAGTTTTGGTATCACTCTATCCACATGAACATGCATAGAAATTTGTACAAGAATTTGTACAAAAAAAATAATCTAACATGATTTTAAAGACAATTTTAGAAGTCTTGTATATGTAAAACATCAGGTTAAACATCTAGTTATGACTCAAAAAAACAACAACAGCAAAAAAACAATTCAACACAATATTTAAATATTAAAGGATATAAGTCACCTATAGA